GTACAACCTGGGGGTGGGCTGGGGGTGGGTACAACCTGGGGGTGGGCTGGGGGTGGGTACAACCCATTGAGCAACGAAACTGAGTAATCAAAAATCCAGACGGTCTCCGGAAAACGCCCCCGATGACGTTTGCGCGGTGTGAGTAAATCTGCCTCAGATAACCTCTCAACACGTCTAGAGCATCATACCAAGCGAGGAACAAAATATTATTTGGCGTTTATGAGGTGGATTCCCATCATTTCCCAAAAGAACCGGGCAAGAACCTATTTTTTATCAACCGGATAATGACAAAAATTAGAATTCAATCTAATCATGACAAACGAGAACCCAAAGAAACTTCATATTCGCTACATAAATAAAGTTATAATATTTAATGAAATCGATGGATCAAACTGAATAATATTATGTTTGCCGGCTCGAAATATATACACATTATAAGAACGTCTTTCTTCCACTTTTTTATTTGCCGACTAAGATCCATCGACCCATTTGCACAAATGGAACCGAGATTTATTTCAAAATTATTACATGGGATCGTCGCGTGGATTAACGAAACAAGCAACAGCGACACTTTACGAGAAATTGATCTGTTAACCGGATTGTTTTACTCGGAAAGAGCCCAGCCCTTCTCCCCAACGCACGATCAGCAGAATCCATGGCGTACAGCAGCTAGTGACGACGCTAGCACTAAGCACAGATTTATTTATTTGTACACGAGTCTCTCTGGCCACACCCCGCGAGGTGGAGAGGTCAAAGTGCACACGCCTCTGTTGGTGTGATTCGGGCTCCCCTCGCCGGCCGGCATTCCGTCAGCTCTGTGTCAAATCATTCCATCTGCAAGTCTTACTGTTGTTTATGAGACCTGTTTAGTAAACGTTTTACGGCACTTTCAACACAGTAAGGTCAAATGAGTGCCGCAGATTTGAAGTCGCACAAGAGAGTAACAAACACAAAAACAAGGAGGAGAGATAAGGACGATAGGTGTATGAAAGGAAAGAAGCAGCAGACAACACCAGAGCACCCACCACTCACTCACAGAGGAGACCTTTGCACAAGACTCATAGATTCAAGAAAACTATATATGAGTGTGTGTATTGCCACTACAGGTTCTTTGAATCAACATTTCTGTGGTCCAGCCTTTTAACGCCAGCAGTATCTATCGCCGTTCTCGGAGAGACAAAATTGTAAGATATCGGCGGTCTTAAATGAGCATTTCCGTTTCCGTTATAATCTGCGCTCCTTCACGCTATAACTTTTTCTTCCGAGCTGTCAAGATTTGTTGACATCTACAGCACGTAAATGGATTCGGAACTTCCTTATTAGGAATGTTTCTCTAATAGATCTAGCAGCTGCCTAGGAAACTTGAGATAATCTTCCTATGCATCCCCAAACCCCATCTCGCTTTCTGTTACCCCCCCCCTCTCTCTCTCTCTCTCTCTCTCTCTCTCTCTCTCTCTCTGTGTGTGTGTGTGTGTGTGTGTGTGTGTGTGTGTGTGAGTGTGTGTGTGTGTATAGCCCATACACGCCTGTACAATGACACACGATTATCCCTAACTGTAAACACACCGAGCGCCCCCCCCCCGCGCGCTCCCCAGCCTCTCTTTTGACATAATATACCACGCACCTCCCTGCACATAATTCGAACACACACACACCAACAACATACAAACATTCCAGTGTATTATTTCCCTGCGGCACCCACCCACAAAGGCACACAGAGAACAGCCCGAGGCTACTAATCACCTTTCGGCACTTTCCTAAACCGACAACTTGAGGAGGACAAAACTCGAGGAAAAAATCCGGTTAGTAGAACACGTTCTTGAAAGGGGATCAGTGTGCCATGATCTCGTCGTCCGGATCACTAATCCGTTTCACAATAATATTATAGTTGTGAGTCCTTCCACAGAGTGGTACGAGACCTCGTATGATCTGACGCTTTTTGTCGGAATCGTTGCAGCGTCGTGTAAACAACGAGGTCGGTCGGTCGGAGGTCTATGGGGCAAACCATAAACTCACACAACGACACAACGAATTCGGTGAGGCATAATAACTCAAAACACGAGACGCATGGCTGGGTGGCTTGCCTACCCCATAGAAGCAGGGAAGCAAAGCACAATGTATACTACATGTACCTCGACTGAGGATATATTTTATCAACGGGGCCTTCTTGAGCAAACATAAGCACATCGATTCAATAACGGTCATATGGTGTACGGAAGAAGCAAGACAGATAGACAGAAGCAAAAGTTGGGAAACAAAAGAAGTAAGACCTAGTGGCGCCCTCCAACCACCCAGTAGAAGAACTTCAAGGCGGTAAGCCTGTATTAAGTCGGTTACAGAAGTATGGGTTTAACGTCTCTTTCAACACTTGTCTGTATCTCGACTCAACGCTGGAAAATATTGAGAGGATAAGACTTTAGCAAAGGAGTCACAGCGGGAGAGAATCAGCTTTTAAAAAAAATACTCCTTGAAAACCGTTAATTTAAAATATGGAAAGTTTGCTCACACAAAACTCCAATTCCCTTTACCAGAAAGCAAGATACTGACCCAGCTTAAACCGGTTGATTGCAAGTTGATCTATGTGTGCCCAAAACCGGTTCATCGGGAATCGGAAAAAAGCTAGCCCTAAGATTGTTATCAAAAGCATGAGTCAATAAGATTCTACTGGTCACAAGTGCCTCTCTACTAGATTTTTAGTCGATGAATTGACAGCGTGTACACACAGGTACAAGCCGGGGCGCAGCGGAACATCTCTCTAGTAGGAGCAAGTAACAGACAGCAGCAGGTGCCGGTACGTTCCATAGGCCTGGCTTACTTGTCAGTACGTGTGCTCCACCACTTGAAGACTTCTACTTCTTTCAGTACTGTTTAATCAAACGATATGGCTTAAGTCTAAAATTATTCGATCCCATCACCGAACTTTGCCCCCCTCACCCTCGCTCTGTCTGTCTGTCTGTCTGTCTGTCTGTCTGTCTGTCTGTCTGTCTGTCTGTCTGTCTGTCTGTCTGTCTGTCTGTCTGTCTCTCAATATGATGATGAGTCATTCTCTTTCTCTTCAACTTGAGGAGGTTGCAGGAGGGAGGGGGGGACGGGGTGTTGAGGAAGGGTGGTCATTGCCAACACGAGGCGGGAATATAGGGGGGGGGGGGCACAAGATGCATCAAAATCACCAGAGCATAAAGTAATCATGCCTAAAAATTATGTCGTTACAAGCTTGTGGCCAACACAAACATCATCGATGCCGCGCCAGCCACACCGTGCTGTGGAGGTCAGCGGGGGGTCTCAAAGACGCATATGCAAAGTATTGCCAAGTTCCAAGTACAGAAAGATCACCCTACTTACATATTGTATATAATATATATTGTATATGTGTGTGAAAATCTATGTGTATGTATATGTAGCCTATATGTAGGATATACACATATTATACACACACATATCTATCTGTATATATATAT